CTCTCCCAGATGCTGAGTTGGCAGGAGCCAGCCCTTCTGCCCTGGGACAGACAGACAGATGGACGGACATGACCTCGCTGGATCCCCTTCAGGGTTGTCCTTGGTGAAGTCCCCTTTTGGGCAGTGAGGACAGCCATCGATGGAGCCTTGTCTGCAGAAGTTGATATTGTGACTATAAAAAGGCAGCTGGGCTTCAGTCTGGAAAGGAGGTGCAGACTCCAGGGATCGATTGATTATTGCTACTCAACTATTGGTTGAAGCCCTCTGAGGAGGTTTTTTTTTTAAATATGCTCCAGCTTATGAAGAGGTGTCTGAAGTCAGGCTGGGGAAGCAACTCAGCTACAGGGGATAACTTCCTGCTGGAAAGGGGAGCAGCGGCAGGGGTTGGGGGGATCAGGGTGTCAGGGGTGGTAGCCCTGGAATAGGAGCTTGGGGGTTCAGTGGTTCCCTTTTCCATTTCTCCATTGGCTTTTTATTTAGGAATACCCTGTGCCTGGCCTCTCAATTGGATGCAAGATCTCCCTTAATGAATAATCCCCATTTATTAAGATTATTGCCATCTCATTGCTGGGAACTTGGCAGAGGATAGTTCATTCAGCTCAATGATCAGCCCACAAGGTAAGTAATTCTATCCTTGTTCAAGATGAGGAAACTGAGGCACAATAAGGCAACTTCTCCAGTGTTACGTGGCTGTTCTGATGATAAGAGGGAGAATGTGGCCTCACTGCCCTTCACACAGGGAGGGCTAAAGAAATGACTAGCAAGGCCCAAGAGGGCAGCCGAGGTGTGAGGAGGGCTACTTTGTCCAGGCAGGTTTGACAGGTGGAGGCAGTCGGGCTGACTCTGCTTTGCCTTTGCAGTCTGCCAGTGAGCTTTGTCCTGAGTGGACTCTGGGAGGGGATGAAGTGCCAATACTTCTCCCTTTCCTGGGTTTGGCCTGATGGGGGCAGAGGTGAGTCCAGCCTCGCTTTTGGGCCTGCACACTTGACCTTCATGTCCCTATCAGCCAGTCCCAGGGCAGGCCCAACAGGGACCTCCAGTGCAGATGGGGCCCTGTGTCCCTGGGTCCCACAAATGATCTTCACTGCAAGGTGGGCACCAAGAAGGGGCCTACTAGTCCGTCACAGAATCTGATTTCTCAAGCTTCCAACTTCACCAGGAAAATGAAATAAGCAAATTGAGAGTCTGACTAACACAGTTGAGAGCTCGCTGCCAGTTCAGGTTCTGCGACTCTGCACACCCTCCCTGTGCCTCACTTCTGTCTGATGTAAAGCAGGACAATAGCAGTACCACCCGGTGGCGTTCTTTGAAGATTACGTGAGCCAGTCCCTCAGCGGTGCCTGGCAGGGAGAAGTGCTGTGTAGACCGTAGCTGCTTGCATCGGCCCTCACTTGCATCCAGGGCTTTCGTGGGGAGCACTCACGTTCTCATGGAGGATGCAGAGTGGGTTGGCTCTCTGAGCCTGAGGGCAGGACCCCCTCAGGAGTCAGGCCTCCCCACTTGGGGAGGTGGGCGTGGCCACCGCCATCCTGCTGCAGGGTCTTTTTTTTTATTAATATTTATTTATGCATACAGAACTGGGGTACAGGCCAGAGACGCAGGGGTGGTGAGAAGCTTCACCAGAGACAGAGCGGGGAGCAGAACAGGCAGATCATGGAAGTACACTGCTGAGGGGAGAGGTCTGCTGCGCCATGTGGATCTCCCCCCGGGCAGGTGGGGATCGAACTCATGCAGAAGTGTCCTCAGCTTCCTAGAGCTGTGCTTCAACCCGCTCGCCACCAAGGAGGACCACCTGCTGCAGGCTCTTTCAGGGCCAGGGAGAGCCTGGCCCCTTTCCAGCTGGGTCTTGACCTCACAGCCTGGATGGGAACCCATGGTGCTGGAAGAGGGGTGTAGGAGACAGGGAAGTGGAAAAGAGAGCGTCTCAGAGAAGGTTCTTTTAGTTTCGAGTAATATGAAGCACTGAAGCCAATTTAAGTTGAAAAGTGACTTTACGGGAAGGGTGTGAGACGTGCCACGGAGCTCAGGATGCAGGGGCCTCTAGTCTGGGCCTCTAGTTGGAACCAGAATCGAGGGACTGTGGGTCCCCCCCCATTCTCTGCTTCTTCAGTTTCCCCATCTGTCTCCATGCACTCTGTCCCGTGCTTGTTACCAGGCTGCCTCACTCATCCCTCCTCCCTGCTGTGCTTTGGGGTCCCTGCCAGGTTCTGGGAGCATGAGCCTGCTCAGCTCTGCTCGGTGGGGTCTGCATCTGTCCAGTGTGGCTGCCCCAGCCCTGCCCTGAGGGAGGCAGTGTTCTCAGAGACGGGCGTGTGACCTGGATGGACACAGGCAGTATGTTCTCAACAGAGGGAGAGAAGGGCACAGATCTGGGAAAACCTACTCTGCCGAGACAGGTTAAACCTGAGGATGATATTTACGTTCCTTACAGATGCAGGCTATTGGGGGCTTATAGTGTTCTTATTTAGAACTGATAACACAGCTCTGTTTTTGAGTGTCAGTCCCGGACACAGCTGTGCTTCAGAGACTCCCACATTTGGTGGTTTTCCCTGCAGGGCTTGGCTGATCACATTGGCTCCGAACTCACATGCAGACATGAAACACTGGATGTGCTTGGTCCCCACCCAGGAAGCTCGTGGGTTCTTGTGGAGTGGAGTCCCTGCTTATGTCCAGAACCCCTTCCTGAGCACAGCAAATCTCCCATTCTGACCATGGACCCAAGGGTCCACACCTGCTAGCTTAGGGGCGCAGATCAGTGGTACATCCTTTCTCCCAATGTGGGCTGATCTCCTGGTCACACCTGACCCGTATGGTCTCTTGGTCCCTTGACAGGAAGTGGGTCATAGGTTTGGATAAAACAGGATCCCACCCACCAACGATCTTAGAAAAGGGGACAGCCCCTTGCCTGGACATAGACTTTTCTAGCACCCCTTTCTGCTTCACCTCAGAAATGCACAGCATGTTGGCATAAAAGTAGCTTCAAAGCTGGTGCTCTTGAAGCATCTGGGTTTTCTATTTTGTACTCTGGGCTGGGTCTGAGGAGCCTGGGCCTCGGGATGAGCCATCTCTTGCCGCTGATGCTGCTGCCGCCATCTGCTCTCAGGCCTCTGAGCTGGGAGGACGGCCCCTGCTGGGCTCATCTGCTTCCTTTCTGAGCCTGGCTCTGTGCAGGAGATGGGCCATTGCTTTTTAGTGCTCTTCCTTAGATGTGGGCCCTGCCCCTCCCACCCACACCCTGGTTCCCCTGACTCTGCTCTGTCTGGCCTCCAAGGCTGGGACAGGGTCCAGGGAACATTGTCAGACCAGGCAGGGGCAGGGGTCGTAGAGCCCTGGCCTGGATTAGCTGCGTGCTCCAGCTGAGTAGCAGCCGCTAGCCTGAGATGTCTGCTGCCGAGTGGGAGCGGAGGTTTGCAAGCTGTTGAATGGCTGTGAAGCCCTGTCTGGGGTGGGTGGTAGGAGGGCACTCATCCAGCTTGAACAAATATTCTAGAGAGCTTGGGAGACATGGGCTGAAATGATTCAAGTTGGGTTCCTGCTGGGTTCAGTTACTTGGGGTCTACTGATTGGGCAGGGACTCCTACCATGAAAGGCAACAGCCTCTGGCAGCCTAGTGCTTCTGCTCCCCTATCACGGCAGACTCTGCCTGGAGGCTGTTTGAGTTCCCCATACAAGTAACACCCCAACAGGACTATGACAGCGTGGGGTGGGGGAAACACCACAGGTCTCAAAATCAGAGGCCTGAGGTCAACGCCTTCTCTGACACTTAGCTGTGTGACCGTGGGCAAGATACTTAACCTCTCTGTGCTTGGTTTCTTGATCTGTAGGAAATAATTATCCTCATTTTGACTTCATAGGATTGTTGTGAGGATCAAGGGAGGTGACGCATGTGAAGGCAGTTTGTGAACAACTCTCAGAGGACAAGGTCATTGGCAGTACACTGAAGCCCTGCTGTCTGAAGCTGCCTCCTGCTGCAGTAACTTGGGCTGGGCAAATGCAGCCTAAGGGCAGAGAAGAGGCTGGCCAGGAAGTGAATCTCGTGGACCCTCCCCTGGGCTTTGCATGCCTTGAGGCCCCTCCTCCTTCCAAGGTCTGGACAGGGCAGCTAGAGGGGCTAAGTGATTGTGTAATGGCCACATCTGTCAGCGTTGGCCAAATGGTTTTTCCAGGAGTCAGCAAGCTAATGGGCCAGAAGCCGGGAGAGAGCTTCTCCTAAGTGGAGCACTTTATCTACTCGGGAACAGAAGAGCATGCGGCCCAGGCCTCCGGGACTCAGAGAACAGCTGCTCTGCCCGCAGCCTTGAATTAGTGCCCTGTCGCTGCTGGCTTGCCTCACACCTGCTGCCAGGGGCCAGACTGCAGGTGGCAACCCAGTGACCATGGGCGGGGAGAGGGCAGAGACAGGAGCCCAGCCTGGGGTCATCCACCTCGTTTTGAACCTGCAACTCTGAACCTTGGCGTGACTGTGGGGCCTTGGCAAGTCCTTGCCCTGTCCAAGTCTCAGTCTCCTCATCTGTAAAACAGGCGACGAAGGTCCCTGTTTTGCTTTCCACACACAGTCCCACAGCGCCCAACGGCTCCGATTTCTCCACATCCTCGCCAACACTTATATGTTGGTTTGCTTCATCATGGTGTGGAAGGTATGAGTGTGAGGTAGCACCTCCTTGGTCCGGATTTGCCTCTCCCTGAAGATTAGTGACGTAGAACATCTTTTCATGTGTCACTGGAGGAAATGATTTTCGACATGTAAAAGTGTGCTGTTGGGGATTATAGAAAGGACTGAGTAGGAGAAGGCGAAGTTGGACACAGGCATTTTCTCTGTGTTTGGGTCATTATGCTACATCACAATAACTTGGTCAGAAAAAAGAAGGAAATGGAGTAAATTACATCTTCTTTCCTTTGCCAGCTGTCCCTCTTCCAATTTCTCTCCCTAGACATGGTAGTGCTGGCTGGCTCTGTGTGGCCATATAAAGCCACATCCCTCTCTTCATACAAATACTGGTAAATCATACACAGTTTGCTTTGGCTTTTTCCCGCTTAATGACATATTTTGGGGAGAGTTCCATGTGAGTGTGATAGTTTGCTTCTGGAATGTTCTTCTGAAGCTAGTTCTCAATTCACATGTTCTCTTTCCTCCCATCCATTTACTCCGCCTTTAAAAGCTTCCATCCATATTTCCTCCCAGCATCTGGCCAATACTCCTCTGGTTTACTTCTCACACAGATGAACACCCAATGCCCAGACTGATCCAATGGATATCATGGTATGTTCAGTGAAAGCAGAGGTTTTAAGTAGTTATCTACCTAATAATATTTATTTTTTTCTGCTTGAATTCATCTAGCAACTTGATTCCCCCTTTCCACTAAAAAATGAAAAGATAGTAAAGGCCAGTGTACTGTAAATACTGAGGTATTGATAGCAGTGTTGTATGAATTGTTGATGATTTAGCTTAAATTGTCTTAAACTTGGCACTAGAAAGTTGATTTAGGTTGCACTATAACCAACAAAGATCCTGCCTGGTGGGAGTTGGTATGTTCATGAGCAGTACCAATGTCATTCTAAGTGACATTGGCGAGGCTTGGGGTACAGGAAGAGGGGTGGGCTGAGATACCCCCGTGGGC